CAGTATAAAACAGTATAAAGACAATCAAACAGTCAACAGTTTAAGTCATTGTCCATGTTGCATCCCAGTTCAGGAAACGAGACCATAAGATTAAATCCACCACACTGGACTGTGGGCAAAAACAATCCTCTTTATTGATGAAAAATGGTTACAAAAGAAAGGTAAATGCAAAGTCAAAATACAGCAGTCAGAAAAACTCTGAACTTGAGCAAAATTCCAAAAGACACAATACAGAAACCAGGAACCTGTTAGCATCACTAACTGTACTTGAAAACTATAAACCTCTGGGAATGCAGGCCATGGAACACAGGAAATCTGCCAAGATACTGCCTCAGTCTAAAACGTTGCTTGATCTGGCTAGACAGCCGGGAAGAGGCCCCTTATACTAAAGAAACTATTTCTTGAAACGCCTCCAGACTTTGAAGCCTCCCTCTCCCGTAATCTATTTGACCTTCGTAGAAACTACAACTCACTCCTGTTTTTCCAAATCTGTTCTCTTCGGTGCTCATTAGCAACCCCAGGTGTGAGTTCCTCTGGAGAGCTATCACTGCTTGATTCCAAAACATTCTCATCAAGAAGTTCAGTTTCACTTTCCCCGCCACTGACCTCATAATCAACAGATTCAACCCCATCAGGGAAAGATACATGTTCAGAGACCTGTTCAGTTGCATCAGGAAATATAATTAAAGAATCAGGTTCAGGTTCTGGTTCTCATGGAGGCTGAACCCCAACAGTCCAAAGAGCAGTTAGTCAGTTCCACGAAAGCTCACACGTCAGCAGGTCAACCCAATCTACAAAGGTCTGATCCCATAGCCAGGATTTCACTTGTTTCTGAAAGGTCAAGAGGGATGTACCAGATGTAATTTCACTTGGGAGGGAGTTCCACAGCCAGTTCTCACAGGGTACATAAAATCATAGAATCATCAAGTTAGAAGAGACCAAAAGAGCCATCCTGTCCAACCTCCTGCCATGCAGGAACACCTAACCAAAGCACTTCCAACAGATGGCCATCCAGCCTCCACTTAATAGCCTTCATAGAAGAAGATTCCATCCCACTCCGATGCAGTATATTCCACTGCGGAACAGCTCTTACCATTGCTTTCCTTCTGCTGGAACAGTGTCTTCCTGTGATGATTTAGTTCACCAAAAAGCTCATTTTTCATTCCACAGTTTCCACCAGTCTTGCCCAGCATAACTGCTGGTGGAGGTGTATGGGACTTTCAGTCCAACAATATCTGGAGGGCGATAGTTGTCTATCCATAATAAAGCCTATCTTTCTTTCTTCTTTATTCTCACCCTAGGAATTGTATCCTGAAACTCAAAGCCCCATTACACCTGTTTAGTCATATCAGTCCTTTTGCCTGCTTTTGACTTGTTACTAATGTACTAATGAGCATAAATAATTCCAAAATTCTTCTCTCTACTCTGGATATAACCATTCTTCCCCAGTGTTCAGCATCAGTATTTCTTTTTTTGAGAAATGTAGGTTGGTTTTGTTTTTGTTTTTTGGTTTTGTGGGGGAAAAAACATTGTTTCCTGACTGCCACATGCATTTTTGATGTGAATAAATACCATGAATCTTACACCACAAAGTGATGTACAGAAAACAGCCATCTTGCACAACAAAACCATGTGCAATATTTTCCAATTCCTATTGCCATACCCTGCTTCTCCTTTCAGTGAAAGACATTCTAATGGCCATTGTGCCTATACACTGCTAGTGTCCATCCCAATAAGAATGTATTTGCTTCATTCTGCCTCAGAGAAGTTGACCTTTGTGCTCCTGTGAGAAAGAAAGCAACTACTGTGTCACCAAGAGTTTACTGTGAGCTTGAGGGAACTAGTAACAGCAGATTAAACTAGTGCCACTCACCTAAAGGAGACAAACTGAAGGAAACAAGCTGACTATTTTGATGCCACCAACTTGAGGGTTAGAATATTGGTCATTGTGACACTATGCTGATTCTTGGTTCCATATAAGAGAAAGTAGGATCTTTGGGATTTCATTTCATGGGGTCTGTCACAAGAGAGAGACTGACCATTGTGACCTCATGCTGATGTTTGCTTAAAGGAGAAACACTGGCTATTGTGATTTCATGCCCATATTGCCCAGCTGAAGGAAAGAAATTGGGTGATATGACCTCATGCTTATGATGTCCACATAAAGGAGTGGTTGACACATGAACACATAAACAAGAGTGGTTTAACACATGAAAGTATAAGATCTAGAAAATTTAAAGCCGTAGTAAAATGTGTTCAATTTTTCCATTTTCCAAAAGGAGTGGAAAATTGAGAAGAAACTAGAAATGCATAATACTTATTTTTGGGTTCTTTGCAGATCTTATTACCTTAAGAACATAAAATTTATTTTATGTGCAATTTAGTTTGCTCTTAAAAGTATAGTGTGGGATAATTGAAACTATAGTGTATTCAGAGAATAATTACAAATGCACTAATTGAATTCAATTGGAGATGGTTTACATTTTTACTACTAATGGAGCTGCAAACTATTGGATGTGGGATCTAGTATCCCAGGTTTACGTGTTTATCTGAAGGAGGACAGAAGTAAACAATTGAGATAGGAGAAAGCACTCATTAAAACTGTAGTAAAACAAAGAGAGAGAAATCTACTTTCAGGGTGAAAAGCTGAGGAAGGGGAAATATTAATTGACATTTTGTCTAATTAGGTTCATTTTCCAAGTTATCATTATCAGTTTATACTTCTTCTGATCTATTGTCTTTCTGATCTTCATGGACAACTAAAAACTGAAGGTTTAAGATAAGCTTTTTAGTCTTTCACATCAGTTTCTTCCTTAACTTGCTTTATTTTCAAATACAGAACACATTCTCCCACTTGTGCTGTTTCAGCTCTCCCACATAATATTGTATCCAGATTTGTGGTGTAAACTGCCATCAAGTCAACTTCAACTCATGGTGGTCCTCTGAATGAAAGACTTCAAAACCACTTTATCATCAACAGCTCTGTTCAGGTCTTGCCTCTTTTATTGAGTCCATCCATTCCAAATCCATTGCTGTTTTTCCTATCAACATTCTTCACGCTCTAGCTATCATAGTCTCATTAGAAGCATTGAAGTTGAGAAAGCATTCAGAAATAGGCAAATTGCACAATATCTGAAGGAACTCAGAATCATTGTGAAGGATGAAAATGTGCAAGGAGTTCACATTTTCTATCGCTGGAGTGTAGTGACTTGTTGTTCATTCGTTCAGCCGTTTCTGACTCTTCGTGACCTCATGGACCAGCCCACGCCAGAGCTCCCTGTCAGCCGTCATCACCCCCAACTCCATCAAGGTCAATCCAGTCACTTCAAGGATGCCATCCATCCATCTTGTCCTTGGTCAACCCCTCTTCCTTTTCCCTTCCATTTTCCCCAGCATAATTGTGTAGTGACTAGGACCAATCAATGTCAGAGAGGCCCTACTGTATAAGAAAATCAATCAGAGATGATTATTTTCATTCTCCCATGTACTACCATATTCAAATTAATATAATGATTGTAAGAGAGCTAACTCAGCAGAAGATATGGGAATTCCTATACAGCATTTCCTGGTTGTTCGTGGAAATAGAGCAACAAATAACTAGCAGGAAATAGAAGTACAAGAGAGGAAGGGTGTTCACTGTCAGATAAGATTCCCAAAATAGAATAAAACGTTCATTCATATATACAAATTATAATTTACTGTGTTGCAAATCATGTTAATTGCTATGGTCGAGAAGTGGCTTTTGAGAAGCAGAAACCAGATAAATTTGAACAGTGGTCTGTTTGTTGCACTCAAAATCATGTGTTGCTAAATTGATTTCAGTGGAATGAGCTACACTACTATTGAGTGAAGTAAGGTACTCTGGTTTATAGTGTTAATTTTCATACAGTATAACTGTAATAGGAGGTCAAGCATCTCTCTTATAGATGGTGGGCACCACTGACTGTTTGAGAACACTCTTTTAATGATTTCAGAAAACTAAATAATGGGGGTTGTGATCTTCAAATCACACTAGCCTACATCACTTTCATTCAAATAACTATTTGCGTTTTTATTTAAGAACAAAGTAGAAATAGAGTGGCTGTGTACACATATTCTCTATATCAGTGGTTCTTAATCTTTGGTCCTTCAGATGACTCAGATTTCAATTTCAAAAAGCCCCAAACATCACAACTGATGGCATCACTATGAGTTCAAGTTAAAAAAAACATATGGGCAAATATCTAGAGTACAATTGGTCTTTGTTGTTTTGTGCCTTTAAGTACTCTCTGCTCTATGGTGTTCCTAAGATGAATTTGTCATGAGTTTTTCTGGAGCTGAGAGGATGTAACATGTCCAAGGTCTCCTAGTTGGTTTCCAAGGACTAATGGGGAATCAAACCCTCATCTCCAAAGTCATTGTCCAGTGCTCAAACCACTATACCATGGTAGTTCTGAAGTTCTTTAAATTCAAGGGTTTTTATATATAGCTAGATAAAAAACTGGAAGGGAGCAATCACCAGAATCCTGTTGGACATTACGTTAGCATACCAGCGGTTGCATTCTTGATATTTTTACAAGAGGATTATTTTATATCCTCCTACAAAATCAGTTCCTTAATTCATTTGAAGTGTCATGGACTGGCTCAAAATCAAGTCAACACAAAGGTAGAGTTCCACCCCTCTCATGACATAACCTGGCAATCAATAGAATGATTTTTTATTGTATATCTGATTTCTATGGCCCTCATTCATTCACTGGCTAGAGGACCAGTATGATGAGTGAGCTTGGAGAAAAGTGGCACAGGTCCTGGTCTGTAGAGGCAGAGTTAGTCCTTCACTCGCATACTGAGCATTATAAATCATCTAAATAAATGGGAGTCAAGAAAATTGATGGAAAGTAGAAGGGTTCTAGATTTTGTAGAACTAAACTGCATGTCTACTTCTCTAGGAGAAGTAGTTATGATGTGATAGAATCTGAGAAACATGGCCTCAAATACTTTATTTGAATTATCTTCCACAGAATGATTCCATTCCTCAAGATGACTTCACCCCAGAAATGTACAGAGAATTCCTGAGCAACCTGTGCCCTCGGCCTGAGATTGACCACATCTTCCAAGAGCTGTAAGAAATTCTGGAAACTCAGTTATTGCTGCTGATTATAATTTGATGTTTGTCGTTACTCAGGGTTACCAAAGGTGTCATGCAAGCTCCCAACATCAAGCTGTGTTTGCTAAGAACCACTCTCTAGATCACATTGTTCCATTATTTAACTAACCAGTTGTGTTGAAGCTCCACATGTTCTTTTCTCTGAGGTTTTGTTGCTATTTTACATCACTTGAACTTTAACAGGAAATTATTCCTAGAGGAATATCCCTGCCAGGCCATGTTCCTTTTTCTGGCATATGCTAGCTTAAACTCCAGTTAAAGTAATTGGACAGCAAGAGCAGCTGGCAAGGGAGAGGATGCCATGAGCAGTGTGTATTAGATAACTGCCTCTCCAACCCCAACAGGCTGAAGAAGGAGAGAGAAAAATATAGTGGAGTATAATACTCACAGAAGATGTTATCAGTGCTTACAGTCAGCAAAAATTGAATTAGCAAACAACTGGGCTCTTGTGGTTTCATGCTCTGATGCCCTGGGACACCTGGAGCAATCTAATTGTAAATGTAATATTTAATCTGTCCCTTTTCCCATGATATTAATTCTCATGTCTCTGATACTGAATTCTTCCAGAGGCAGAGGCTAGCAATACATAAACTGCAAGCCCATGTAAGAAAGCACTGACATTCCCCTGCCATGTGCATCAGAACCTTCAGAGAGAAAATAAATTTGGAAAGGGAGTCATTTAGAGTAGAGAAAATGTGGGTGCGGAATAGTTTGGACACTGTCTCCTCTTTCAGTCCATTCTTCATCCAAAATTCCTCCTCTAAAGGTTGTCTTCAAAAACTGGCACTTAGGCTTTCTTATAGGCATTGCCATATCACATGTAATTTGCCACCAAGAGTTTCAGAGTTTGCATTCCTGAAATTCTAGCAGTTCCCCTGTTTATGGCAACCCTTTTATTCTTTCCTCAAAAGGATTTTGCTTGATACTGCTATGGCAGCAGTGTTTCTTCACAACATTTAACCATGGAATAAAGCAGTGTTTCTCAAACTGGGGGTCAGGACCCGGGGGGGGGGTCACAAGGGGGTGTCAGAGGGGTCATCAGAAAACACAGTATTTTCTGCTGGTCATGGGAGTTCTGTTTGGGAAGTTTGGCCCAATTCTCTCATTGGTGGGGTTCAGAATGGCTCTTTGATTGTAGGTGAACTATAAATCCCAGCAACTACAACTCCCAAATGTCAAGGTCTATTTTTCTCAAACTCCACCAGTGTTCACATTTGGTATTCATGCCAAGTTTGGTCCAGATCTATCATTATTTATTTGAGTTCACAGTGCTCTTTGAATGTAGGTGAACTACAACTCCAAAACGCAAGATCAATGCCCACCAAACCCTTCCAGTATTTTCTCTTGGTCATGGGAGTTCTGTGTGCCAAGTTTGGTTCAATCCCATCATTGGTGGAGTTCAGAATGCTCTTAAATTGTAAGTTAATTTTAAATCCCAGTAACTACAACTCCCCAATGACTCTTTCAGGAGTGAATCTTTCTTCTGAGGGGTAGATTTCTCTCACTTCCTCTTGTCTCACCCCCGTTCTTAACTAGGAGTTGTTTGTAAGCCAGATGTTTGTAACTAAGAATTATTATTATTATTATTATTATTATTATTATTATTATTATTATTATTGGAAGACAGGTTTCTGAGTTTAATTTGAATGTTTCTACCAGTTCAATGGATTGTTCCAAAAAACAAACCCCCTCCAAACAGTTATTCTAAGTTTGTGGGTGTGGGCATTCCAGTCAGCTGTCAACTTACAACCACATGACTTACATAGGATTTTCTTAGGCAAGAAATTTTTAGAGGTGGTTTTGGCAGTTCCTTCCTCTGGAATCGGAATAACAGCACCTGGTATTTGTTTGTAATCTCCTATTTGAATAGTAACCAGGGTTGATCCCACTTGGGCTCTAAGATCAGACAGAATCAGACAAAGAAAATTATTATTATTATTATTATTATTATTATTATTATTTGAAACACAACAAAATGAGTCCACAGCATACACTCTGCTGGATGTTGAATTGGATCACACGTTGGACACTTCCCAAGTGTCTAGGACTGTGTGATGTATCGGCGAATGATGCGTGCAGATCCTAGTAACGTGGCCTTCTGCAGCTGGCAGATGGTAATTTTGTCAGCGCCGGTTGTGTTTAAGTGCAGGCCAAAGTCTTTAGGCACTGTACCCAGTGTGCCGATCACCACTGGGACCACCTTTACTGGTTTGTGCCAGAGTCTTTGCCGTTCAATTTTTAGATCCTCATATCGTGTCAGCTTTTCCAGTTGTTTCTCTGCAATCCCGCTGTCACATTATTATTATTATTATTATTATTATTATTATTATTATTATCTGATGCTGTTAAGTAATTTAGGCTCTCCATTTGTCTCTATATATCTATCTATCTATCTAGTCACAGGTCCCATTTCTCAGAAATAACTATGTTAATTATATTCTTTTACAAAGTACCTTCATACAGACTGTATTATTTAAACGCCAACAGCAAAGTATATGTCACAAATACCTACACTCCCCACCTCCATTCTAGCTCAAAGCCTGGATGTATGAAAGGAACAATATTCATGTTGCTGGCATTCTTTCCTTTTCACCTTCATGGACAGCATGGTGGCAGGGGGGCTTGACATTTTCTTTCCAATCAATTGATGACATGGTTCATATGGGCTTCAGCTCAAGCCACACTGCTTTCCAAAGATTTCCACCCAAACCTGATTTCCAATGTAATATAGGGAAATAGAAATAGTTGTAGTGGAAAGACAAACAATATATATAATCATCTTTCTGTTCTCATTCCTGTCTGAATTATTTTTGTAGTGGTGCCAAGACCAGGCCATATCTTACTGTTGACCAGATGATGGAATTTATAAACCTGAAGCAACGAGACCCACGGTTAAATGAGATTCTTTATCCACCCCTGAAGCAGGAACAAGTTCAGCAGCTGATTGAAAAATATGAACCCAATAACGCTTTGGCAAAGAAAGGTCAGTAATTTTCATTATTTTCAGTATTCTGTTTCTGATTTCAAACAATGAACAAATTACTGTGGAGACATACACAATGGAGTACAGGCTGCCTTCAGCTTAATCACATTTCCAATTGGCTGCCTTAAGATCTGACAGTCTTGAAGCAGAGAAAATGTAAATGTATTCTTTCAAACTTGCACGAAGGGGGCTGGGTTAGTTTTGATGTTATTTCACTTCACAGGAAAAATAATTTGGAACATAGAAATGTGATCGCTTGCAGAACAATTACTTTTCTTAAATTTGAAATCTGTGAAATAGAGGGGAAAGACTGTTGTAAAACAACCTCCTGTTACTCAGCTGGAGCTCTTTTGGGGGGAGGGGGGCTTGATAATGCTCACTGGTAATAGTACTACTTTCTGTCTGCTGATAAGATCTGTATGCAATGTGGACTTTATAATGAGTAAATGTGCATTTTGTCATATTCAGCAAAGATGCTGTTTGGATTTTTTTAAAAAAAACATGTTGCTAGCAAAACATCTATTTTTGTTTTATTGACTATTCTAAAGCCTTTGACTGTATGGGTCATAATAAATTGTGGCAAGTTCTTGGTGGTATGGGGGTACCAAATCACCTTGTCTGTCTCCTGTGGAATCTATATAATGACCAAGTAGCAACAGTAAGAACAGATCACGGAACAACAAATTGGTTCAAGATTGGGAAAGCAGTATGGCAGGATTGTATACTCTCACCCGACCTATTCAACTTGTATGCAGAACACATCATGTGATGTGTGGGGCTTCATGAATCCAAAGATGGAGTTAAAATTGCTGGAAGAAACATTAACAACCTTATATATGCAGATGATATCACTTTGATGGCTGAAAGCGAGGAGGAACTGAGGAGCCTTATAACCAAGGTGAACAACAAAAGTGCAAAAACAAAAAAACCAAGATTATGGCAACAAGACTGATAGATAACTGAAAAATAGAGGGAGAAAGCGTGAAGGCAGTGGCAGCCTTTGTATTTCTAGGCATGAAGATTACTGCAGACGCAGACTGCAGCCAGGAAATCAGGAGACGCTTACTTCTTGGGAGGAGAGCAATGTCCAATCTCGATAAAATAGTGAAGAGTAGAGACATCACACTGGCAACGAAGATCTGCATAGTTAAAGCAATAGTATTCCCCATAGTCACCTACAGATGTGAGAGCTGGACCATAGGGAAGACTGAGCGAAGGAGGATAGATGCTTTTATTTATTTATTTATTTTATTTTATTTCTTGCACTTATTGACCGCCACTCTCAGCCCTAGGGGCGACTCGTGGCGGTGAACAACAACATATAAAGACAATGTACAAAAATCACAACAATACACACCAAAACTACTACTACACATATACTTATACTAAAAATCCGCTTCGCCTAATCCTGGGGTCATAGCCAAATTCGTAGTCATAGTCCATTCTAAGTCGTTCCACAGATACCCTTAGTTGAAGGCCTGCTCGCAGAGCCAAGTTTTCAGGCTCCTGCGAAAGGCCATCAAAGTGGGCGCCTGTCTAACTTCAGTAGGGAGGGTGTTCCACAACCGGGGGGCCACCACCGAGAAGGCCCGCTCCCTCGTCCCCGCCAGACGTGCCTGTGAGGCAGGCGGGACCGAGAGAAGGGCCTCCCCGGATGATCTCAAGGCCCTCGTGGGCTCGTAGGCCGAGATGCGGTCTGCAAGGTATTTTGGGCCGGAACCGTTTAGGGCTTTGTAGGTAACACCAGCACCTTAAATTGGGCCCGGTAGCAAATCGGCAGCCAGTGGAGCTGGGACAGCAGGGGCGTTGTATGCTCTCTGCGCCCTGCTCCTGTTAACAACATGGCTGCCGCGCGTTGGACTAGCTGAAGCTTCCGGGCCGTCTTCAAGGGCAGCCCCACGTAGAGAGCGTTGCAGTAGTCGAGGCGGGATGTGACCAAAGCATGTACCACCGTGGCCAAGTCAGACTTCCCAAGGTACGGGCGCAGCTGGCGCACAAGTTTTAACTGTGCAAATGCTCCCCTGGTCACCGCCGAAACCTGGGGCTCCAGGCTCAGCGATGAGTCCAGGGTCACACCCAAGCTGCGAACCTGCGTCTTCAGGGGGAGTGTGACCCCGTCCAGCACAGGCTGTAACCCTATACCCTGCTCAGCCTTGCGACTGACCAGGAGTACCTCTGTCTTGTCTGGATTTAGTTTCAGCTTGTTCGCCCCCATCCAGACCATTACAGCGGCCAGGCACCGGTTCAGGACTTCGACGGCCTCCTTAGTAGCAGGTGGAAAGGAGTGACAGAGTTGGACGTCATCTGCGTACAGATGACACCGCACCCCGAAACTCCGGATGATCTCACCCAGCGGCTTCATGTAGATGTTAAACAGCAAGGGGGGACAAGATGGAACCCTGAGGAACGCCACAGGTCAACGGCCGTGGCGTTGAACAGGAGTCCCCCCATAACACCTTCTGGGTACGACCCTCCAGAAATGACCGGAGCCACTGCAGAGCAGTGCCCCCAAGACCCATCTCCGCAAGGCGTCCCAGAAGGATACCGTGGTCGACGGTATCGAAGGCCGCTGAGAGGTCCAGGAGCACCAACAGGGACACACTCCCCCTGTCTAGCTCCCGGCGCAGATCATCCACTAAGGCGACCAAGACCGTCTCTGTACCATGTCCCGGTCTGAAACCAGACTGTGCCGGATCCAGATTATCCGTGTCTCTCAAGAATACCTGGAGTTGTGAGGCCACCACGCTTTCCATGACTTTGCCCAAGAAGGGGAGATTGGAAACAGGCCGAAAGTTGTCCAATTTAGTGGGGTCCAGTGATGGTTTCTTCAACAGCGGCTTTATAATAGCCTGTTTTAGGCTCGCTGGAATCTTGCCTTCCCGAAGGGAGGCATTAACCACCACCGTTACCCACTCGGCCAATCCCCCTCTGGCCTCCTTCAGAAGCCAGGATGGGCAGGGGTCTAGGATGGACGTGGTGGGTCTCATTCCTCCAAGTATCTTGTCCACATCCTCGGGTTTCACAAACTGAAAAGAATCCAACAAAATCGGACAAGCAGGTGCTTGTGTCACATCCCCAGAGACTGCATTTAATGTGGCGTCCAGCCCAGAGCGGATCAAAGCGACTTTGTCTGCAAAGAACCGAGCAAATGCTTCACAGCGCGTTGCCGAGTTGTCGGGGCTCCCACCTGAGATAGGGGGAGTTAAAAGACCTCTGACAATCCGGAACAACTCCGCCGGACGGTTTTGCAGACGCAATAGTGGCCGCAAAGAAAGCCTTCTTTGCGGCTTTTATTGCCGCGGCATATGCCCTCAGAAAGGACACAAACCGTGCTCAATTTGACTCGCTCGGGTCCGAACGCCACACACTCTCTAGTTCCCTCTTCCTTCGCTTCATCACTGCCAGCTCCTCAGTAAACCAAGGAGCTGGTTTAGCTCGGCTACTTGAGAGGGGACGTTCCGGAGCAATCATGTCAATTGCCCTAGTCATCTCCCCATTCCAGAGAGCGACCAAGGCCTCGACATGATCACCTACCGAGGTGGCGGGAAACTCCCCAAGAGCCTTCAGGAATCCATTCGGATCCATTAGCCTCCTGGGGCGGACCATCTTAATAGGTCCTCCACCCTTGCGGAGGTTAGGGGGCGCAGTGAGTCTAAATCTAACCAGGAAGTGGTCGGTCCACGGCAACGGAGAGATAGACAACTCCTCCACACCGCCACCCTGCTCCCATCCCTGGCAGAAAACCAAGTCCAATGTGTGTCCAGCACAGTGGGTGGGGCCAGTTATTCGTTGGGACAGCCCCATGGTTGCCATGGCGGACATGAAGTCCTGAGCCGCACCTGTGAGGGTTGCCTCGGCGTGGATGTTGAAGTCCCCCAGCACAAGAAGCCGTTGGGACTCCACCACCAGACTCGAGACCACCCCCGCTAGCTCAGGTAGGGAGACTGTAGTGCAGCGAGGTGGACGGTACACTAACAGAATCCCTATTCTGTCCCGGTCACCCACCCTCAGATGGACGCATTCAAAATTTGTGGTCTGCGGGATGGGGCCCCTGGTTAGATGGATGGAATCTCTATAGACCACTGCGACACCGCCTCCCCGTCCTCCGGCTCTTGGTTGGTGTTGCACGGAAAAACCTGGAGGACAGAGCTGGGAGAGGTTTACGCCCCCCGCTTCATCCAGCCAGGTCTCCGTGATGCACGCCAGATCTGCCCGCTCCTCCAGGATTAAGTCCTGGATCCAAGTTGTTTTTCCGTTGACAGACCTGGCGTTCAACAACACCACCTTCAAGCCGGAGGGCCCGCTCACCTGGTTACACCAATTTACCTTAGGAGACCTATTGGGAATGGTTAATTTGGATAAGCGGTCCGAATTAGGCCGAATTCGAGGTCTCCTTCTCCCGCATCTCCTCCTTCCCACCACGACCTCTATGGGGGCCCCTCGGCTAGTGGAACACCTCCCCCCCTCCATGCCGCAGTCCCGGGCTATGAGAATACTATCTCCTACGGTTGTCGTTAGATGTATTGGTTCTTGCCAGCATCTCCCCTCCCCCTCCTCCCCCCTCCCCACCACATTCTCAATCACAGGCTCCAGGCCCCCTCCTTTCCTGCCCCCACCGTTGCACCCAAACAGCAGCAACAATACACAAAGGGGGGCAGGGGACCACATGGGTAGCAGCTATACAAATGGCGGTCGGTGTTCCGACGGCTTCAGTGGAGCAGTTCTTACAGTGCAAAGATTTTGGAGCAGTCCGTTAGTGATCGTAATTGATCGTAATTAGTTAGCAGCAACACACGTTCGAAGGCACATTAATAAAGTGCTAGGTCTAAAGTGCTCTACTTAACGATAATAAAGTGCGGCACAGAGGGACAAGGGAGGGCGAAAGTGCTGGTGCAATCTAGCAGCAATGGCAGGCGCCTAAGTGTTCTAAATCGTTCTTATTACAGTAACGACAGATGGTACAAATGACTACCAGGGGTGTACTAGTTAGTATGGTACGA